TGGTCCCTGATAGCTACAGTTTTTGACTCTCCCTCTTCTCCATGGAGTTGCCCCTTCCCTCCCCATCACATCCTGATGGTGTACTACTTAGAGTCCAGTAATTTAGCTCTAAATCATATATGGACTTGAATTCTTAATTCTCTCAGTAAGTATTGGCTACAGCCCCATACTTAGCCCTCCTGTAACCTCAAAGAACTCAATGGAGAGAGAAACCAAATATTGATGGCTTTACTTAGCCCTCCTGTAACCTCAAAGAACTCAATGGAGAGAGAAACCAAATATTGATGGATTTATTCAAAAGAAGACTCTTTAATTAGTACGAGAGACATGGGAAGTCCCCAGTTTGGGGACGACAAGCAAGTGGGTGGGAGTAAGTCCTGACTCCATCACCTCTCCCCTGTCACCTGGATCATTTTCCTTCCCATCTCTCAGCTGAGTGTTTCCTTTCAAATCCGCTGCAAAGTGTTCAAGACTAAGGAGCACCTGAGCCAAGCCATGGTGTTGTCAACAGCCTCATATGCATGTGAAGCTTGGACAACGAATAAGGAAGATCGGAGAAGAACCAGTGCGTTGAATGATGGTGTTGGAGAAGGATACTTAAAGGACCATGGACTGCCAAAAGAACCAACAAGTTTGTCTTGGAAGAAGTGCATCCAGAATGCTCATTAAAAGCGAGGAAGTACAGGCTTGGAAAATGGAAGGTCAACAACAACAAAAGATGTGTCCCCACTGAGAAGGAATGACACAGTGGCATCTGAATGTGCTGAAACATAACAACACTGTGAGAAGGGTGCCGGACCAGGCAGTAGTTCACTCTGTTGTGAGCCGATTCAACCACATCTAACAATACCCTTCAGGAGACTGTTGCAGTGGTCGATGAGAAAAGGAATATAAAGTGCTTACCTAACAACATCCTTCATGATATTGTTGAAGGAGTCAATAAGACATGGAATTTAAAGTGCTGTTGAAAGAAAGGTCCAGTCCTATGAAGGGTAATACAGAGGAGACACCAATACTGGCAACCACAAGGTTGGCAATTCAAACCCACCCACCAGCCGCGCTTGGAAACGCTACACAGGGTCACTAGGAGTTGGAATCGACTCGACAGCACACAACAACAGCAACAACAAGTGTTGCTAAAAAGATTTGGAAGACACATGTGGCCTGGACTACATGGTTGGAAAGGGTGGAGGTAGGAATGGTAGGCAGAAATGAAATCCTTGATCGCTCTACTGCTCTACAGAAGCTTTACTTGGGCTTCTTTGTAGGCCTTTTATACTGGCTAAGCCTGATACCTTCTTTCTTTTTGGCTCCTTAAGACAACTTTTAGAGACTAACACAAGTACTAGTACTGAAAAATGAGAATACTTTGATATCAGCAAAATGCTGATATGAGAGGCAGGGCGGACAGAAACGAGGATTTCTGCAACATTTCTGAAAGGGCTAAAGGAAGTTTGCAATAATTAGTTGTAAGAATATGTTTGTTGTTGTTATGTGCTGTCGAGTTGATTCTGATCCATAGCAACCCCGTATAGGGTTTCCAAGGAGCAGCTGGTGAGCTTGAAGCAGTGACCTTGTTCAAACCCACTATGCAGCCCAGCGCGTTAACCCACAGCGCCACATTGTTGTTAAGTGCCGTTGAGTTGATTCCCACCTATAGTGAACCACTGACCTTGCAGTTCAAAGTGACTTTGCAGTCCAGCGCATTAACCCACAGCGCCACAAAGTGCCACATTACTAACTAGTTATTTCCTTGAAGTTGGTTTTTTGTGCTTGGGATTGGATTTCCTTTATGCAAATTTACACAAATTCCAATTCATATTATAGTATCATTGAAATATCGTCTCTCTACTTTAACCAATAAAATATTTAACCATTAAATTTACCATTGGGATGACTTTGGGCACGTTACTGGTTTCTTTGTGCCTCACTTTCTTCATCTACAAATGAATTTCCTAACAGGTTTCAATATATTAACTGTGTAAGCGCCCTTTCAGTGAGGGCAGCTCCATGAAGGTTAGCAGCAACTGCTGAATTCACACTCCCAGCGTAGAGTTCCATCTATCCAATGACTTTCAGACGGATTCTTAAGAGACTTGGCTTACATGGTTGCCATAGCACTATGACGGTCAGCTTTTGTGCCTGAAAAGTCTCCCTACAATCCAATCAGGGGCGTGTTCCCTAAGAAGAGTCTACGAGTGTGGGTCACATGCTGTCTGCTCTTGGCCGTGGGGGTGGTGAGCTGGAGGAGAACACTCGGTGTTCCCCCTGAGCGATGGTATCCTGCATAACCCCTGCAGGCCCCAGTGGAGAACTGATGGCAGCTGTAGCAAGTATCTCTGCGTTTCAGATTGATTCCAAACAAGACTCTCACTGAGTGAGGGAGAAGTGAGTGGGCTACAGGTTACAGACTGAAAGGAGGGACTATGAGACCAAGGAATGTGAGGTGTGCGAAGGGAAGGGCTGATGTAGTATGACTCTGGACAAACTATGGAAACAGAACAATTCTTTGGGACCTGGTCTTTCTCTCCATCTGTGTACCACCATGTGTTCCCCCAGCCAGGACAGTTGTGCTCTTCTGTGCCAGTCTTAACATTGGCAAAGGTCCTGTGGTTCATAGAAGAGACTGGAGAACTCAGGAGGCACCACAGGATTGCTGCTTTTATTTCAGGAGAAGGCATGGGGCGAGTCCATACACAAATAATAAAACACGTTCTACTTTATCCAGGAGCATGAGTAATGAGAACCGAACACAGCAAGTACCATGTGTGAATGCCATAATTAAGTCTGTGAGGCGTCCTGGTGTGGTGTTGCAGGTTAATGTGAGGGACTGCAAGGTCAGTGGTTCAAGCTCACCAGACACTCCTTGGAAACCCTATACAGGGTTGCTATAAGTCAGAATTGACTAAATGACACTTAACACCACCACCATCATCCACCTGTGATGTCTGGTATCCTGCCTTTTATGATAAAGCTAAGGAAAGGCAAAGAAATGTTGAGCCAACAGGCATTCTCATTTTCACTCCTCAATCTCTTATCTCCTACTGAGACTATGTTTTATGGTCATTCCCACCGCCCCCCAACCTACATGTTGACAATTCAGGGCCGAGAAACCACTAGTGTGAGGTTGTTGAAGATGACTAATGCTGTTATAACTAAGCTTGAGCCCTTTCACAGGGGAGCCCCACTTCCTGTGCGCAGAGTGGGCTGTCAATAGCATCAGCCCAATCAAAGAGAGGAGAGAGCTACAGTCCCAAAGGTGAAAATAAACTTCTCTAAAACACAAGAAATCAATGGGAAGTCTAGCTTCATTTTGATCTTGACCACTAGCTACAATTGCTTTGCTCTGAAGTTGTCCAGAGACAAACTATGTTGCCAATTTTCAACGTACATCTCAAAATCCTCTGTTCCATTTTCCATCAGTTCTTACCTACGAAGACAGCATTGGTTAGAAAATCTGCTTTTCTTCAAAGGAAGAAAAGATGAGAATGTTTCCAAAAGAAAGTGTCCTCTGGAACTCTAACTCAGTTTTAAAAAAATCAGACCTTTCCAGTTTTCTATATGGCTTTTGTCATTTACAATCAAATAACATTCAAGTCTACACCATTGCCATCAAGTTGATTCTAACTCAGTGCCGCTAAAGGACCTGAGAACTTCCCCCACAGGGTTTCTAAGACTTTAGATTTTTATGGAAGCAGCCTGCTACATCTGTTTCCTGAGGAGTGGCTGGTGGGTTCAAACTGCTGACCTTCTGGTTTGAAGCTGAGTGAGTGCTTCATCACTGAGTGAGTGCACGGCCACTTCTCCCTTTGAATGAAGGAGCTCTGGTCACATAGTGTTTACGAATCAGGCTGCAAACTGCAAGGTCAAAACTACCAGCTGTTCCATGGGAGCAAGAGGAGACTTTCTGCTCCTGTACAGATTGACAGCCTGGGAAACCCCATACAGCGTCGTTACGAATCGGAACGGATTCCATGGCACATAACCACCAACCACCCTTTTTAATGAGAGCTGAAAATTCCTAAAGGCAAATGGAAATAATGATACCTGTGTGTTGATCAAATGGAAACGACCAACGTTGAAGAAGAAGAAATATATGGGTGATAAGCGAGGGAGCCTCATGAGAGTTAGACCATTAATTCAACAAGAGGAAGGCCTTTGACAATAAATCATCAGACGGATCCTGGACCAACAATACTCCTAGCTAAGGTGACTGAGCTTGTCAGTATTGTTAAAGAGCATTAGACAGGAAATCCAAAAGTCACACGATGGCAAATCCTCACAGACAGTCCTAAGGAGGGAGTACCCGGCCCTCAGAGGGCTTGTGGTGCCACGGCACAGTTACAAGAGGGGCACACGTGTGGTAATTGGAAGTTCTCAAGTCAAAATACCTTGGTTCCAATCCTGGCTCTGCTCTTACTAACTTTGTGACATTGTAAGTTACTAACTTTTCTGTGCCTCAGTGTCCTCATCTGGAAATGAAGCAGAAGTCAGCAGCTACCCTGAGTGGGGGATTGTGAGGATTACATGCATGCATGGATCTGTATACAGAGCTGCTAGCACTCAGAGGCTGCAGTGGTCACTGCTGTTGTCATGGAGACGGACTTGCTAGGTCATCTCAGCCCCAGGCCATGAAACATCTGGATCACCACCAGGATGTACACTAATTGGCATCATCAGCGCCCCCTGCTTCCTGGGGGGACATACACCAGCCAAGCCATCAAAGTACCCCAATACAACCTTTTATGACATTATAACTAAGTATCTGGGAATTTCAGTACACAAGCAGGTTTCTTGGGAGATGTGTAACATAAGTCAGTGGCTCCAAGTTGGACCAGCTCTTAGACTTTGGAAGATAGAGCTTCTGAGACTGCAAACTGTGATGAGCTCTCCCAAGAGGCCTCAGGACACTCGGTACAGCACCCACCCTCCCTAGATGTCAGTCTGACCTTCACTCACATGCCCGGTGAGAGCGGGGGCTCCTGAGTTCACAGTCTTACCTGTGACGTGGAGCTTCTCATCGGTAACTTCCGCCTTCAGGTAAATGCGTCCTCTCTTCTCTGTGTGGTCCATTCCACAGAGGCTGGGGACGTTTATTACACATTGCTTGTGGACATTCATGTCGCAGGCTGTGAATCAAGAGCAGAGGGAGGGTCAGCCTGGGTGTACAGAAGCGAACCATGTTTTGGTGTGTAAGTTTAAGTGGAAATGTACTTGCGTCTAACTTGATAATGTGCTACATAGTGTTTTTGCTGACATAAAGAACCTTTAGCAGATGTCCCTTAAGCACTACCTTCATCTGAGTGATAATATCCTTAAAATACCCATGCCATTTTTGTCTAATCTTGTCCTAAGCAAAATGGCCCTGCTTGTTTGTTTTTTTGTGATCATTTAGAATATTTAAGGGCATATGAAATTCACATAGGTAAGTGCATGCAAAGTGGGACTGAGTTATTATTTTATGTACATTGAGACCAATAGACATGCAAATATAAACTGAGGATACTCTTTGCCCAAGTTTCTTTTTTTAAATGCCTTTCTCAGCTCAGCACTGAAAAGTGAGAACCTGTGGGTTGAGTAGAGGGAATTCATAAAAATGTTCTTTCTGCAGTTAATCCTGCATTTTTTTCAAGAAGGCTACAGTATATTGCCTTAGGGATTTTTTTTGTTTTTTGTTTTCTTTTTGTTTTAAATCTTAAGGAAAGAATGTGTGTTTGATATTTTAAACCTGTCTCTGAATATTTAAATATTATTCCAAGTAAAACAAATACGAGCCTGACTTGATAAGCCACTCCTCATTAGCTGACATTACATGGGAGAGACGGGGGTGGGTGGGCGCACAGAAAAAAGATCAGTCTTATTGTAACGAACCCAAAGAAGTCCTGAAAGGGATCCCGTGCACTGAAGGCAAACATGGCACTCGGTGTAGGTAGTCTGGTTCTACTGCCCTTGTGCCCTGTAGGCTTTCAGAAGGGCCGATGCCCTGAAATGAAATCCTTAATGTTCTTAATACGGTGCTACGAGGTTGTTCTGTAACCTTCAAGATGGAGCATTCATGACGGCTTCACCTTGAGTGTTTGATTTTAACAGGGCAAAATAATAATGTGCATTTGCTATAGATGCTGAAAGTAGGGTAATGGACCCAGTGAAGAAAGAACAATAAATGGACTCACAAATAAGAATTCTGCTTAGGTTTCTGTCTCCAAAGCAAGCTGTTCAAAGCCATGCACCTTGATGTAAACTCAGTCCACTGCCATCGAACTGATACTGACTTGCAGCGATCCTACAGGACAGAGTAGCCATTCCGTAGTTTCTGAGACTGTAAATCTTCACAGGAGCAGACAGCCTTATCTTTCTCCTGCAGAGTGGCTGCTAGGTTCGAACTGACAGCCTGATGGCTATAAGCCCAATGCTCAATTCACTCTGTGCACCTCGCTCTGACCAATAGAAAGGTGTACGGAAGGCTACGTTACAGCTATAACTGGAGTTGTTGCTGTGAGCTATCGGTTTCATTCCAGCTCATAGTGACCCTGTAGGACACAGGTAGGAGGCTTCCTAGACTGTAAGCTTTACATGAGTAGATTTCCCAGAGCCGCTGGGTGAGTTCAAACCCCTGACTTTTTGATTAGCTGCAGAACTGTTAACCGGTGTGCCACCAGGGTTCCTTATGACTGGCATTAGCCAAATCTCACTGTCAAGTGCCTGGGCGGAATTCGTACTTTAAAGGTAATGAAGGCCAGCATTTCTCGAGAAGGATAAGAGGAAGGGAGGTAGAAGGACACTGGGTGGTATTCTTCGCTAGGCTTCACCATTTACTTTTATATTTTGGGAAGCTCATTTGTCCTCTACGATTCAATTTCTCTCTCTTCAAAAGAAGGGGTAGATGTCGAATTTCCCCCTCCTAAGTGAAATTGTATATATAAACAAATATCAAATCATGTGAGGGTGAATCCCCGGGTGGTGTAAACGGTTAATGCACTTGGTTGTTAACTGAAAGGCTGAGCATTCAAATCCACCTTGAGGCACCTTAGAAGACAGGGCCTGAAAGCTCTGTGGTGTACAGTTCTATTCTGACACACATGGGGTCTCCAAGAGTCAAAATGGGCTGGGCTCAAAGGCTTGGGGCAAAGCTGCTCTGGAGAAGTGAAGGTAGGGTTTGGGGTCCTACTGCCACCTGCTTAGCTTCCTCCTTCCAAGAAGGATCACGGCCAGTGGCCCCAGAAGCCCTCGTACTCTAAGGAAAAAAGCATAAAATAAAGCAAAACCCACAGGTCCAGGCCAGTGGCTTTCAACATTGTTTCATGATGGAAGCCTCTCTGCAAACACTCTGCAAAAGCAGAAGGATGCCATTGTATTAGCACGGACTGAGCTAACTGGTTCACGTTTATACCATTGATTTATTATAAAGACATTCAACATAACCAATAAAATCCTTTGACCAAAACAGCTGTTTGGCAGCAGCTGCTAGGAATGCCAGTCCAAGTCTTACATGAGCCTCACCATCTTATCGATTTCTGTACTTTGCTAAAGTTACACAGACTCCAAGACTCCGGGTGTACACAGCAGAGTGTGTGCACACGAAGCAGCAGGCCTCACCATGTCAGTAGACGCTGCAGCTGATGGACAAGACAGGAGGCACCTGGCAACAAGCACCGCCAATGGGAGAAGTGAGTCACACAGCATCCTCAGTGTGAGTTCAGTTGTGTTACGCAACACACTCGATGGTTCAATTTTGGGTCCACTTAGAATGAGCATCATTTTGCAGAACCACTGAAAACCATGCTCGGAAGCCTAGGGTTCTTGAATCACAGATGGTCACTGGTCTGAAGCATCACAAAGGTTCTGCTCAGCTATTAAGTTTCATCACTCTACCAGGTCACGATTGTTGTCTTCCCTGGGAGAGACGGAGGCTTGATTTCTGGCCAGTGCAGCTACCACTAATGTGGCGTGTCAGTGGAGGACTGAGCATGGTTCTGATGATCAATAGGCCACAGCAGAGCTTCCAGGCTCAGATGGGTTAGGGAGTAAGGCCTGGAGACCTGCTTCAGAAAGTGAGCCAATGAAAATCCTATGGATTTCCACCAGGGGGATGGGGCATCTCCTTCCTCCAGGGGGATGGGGCAGGGCTGGGCAACGTTTTGTTACGTTCTACATGGGCTTACCATGAGTCAGGGGTGGACTCACTGACAGCAGCTAACCAGTGCATCAACCCATCTATTCTGTGGTGCTCAGATACCTTGCTTCTTTGTGTGACGTGTGTCTACTACATCTGCTCCATGTAAGAAACAGAGATAAAGATTTCTGCTAGTATAATACTGCTGCTGCTGTGTGCCGTGGTGTCGGTTCCGACCCATAGCAACCCTGTACGGGGTTTCCGAGGATGTAAATCTTTTCGGAAGCAGAATGCCTCATCTTTCTCCCATGGAACAGCTGGTAGTTTCGAACTGCTGACCTTGCGGTTTGCAGCCCGATTCGTAACCACTACGCTACCAGAGCTCCTTTAATAGTCATTAACAAATGGCACTATGAGGACAATTCCATCTCTTCCCTGTCTATTAGAGCAAGCAGGGTTAGTAATTACCTTTTCATGTCCTAACAGCACAAACTTTCATTGAAACAAATAGCTAGCCTGGGGAACCCTAACTTAAGAAGCATCAGAACCGAGAGTCTCAGTAATTCTTCTTTCCCCTGTGGTGTGCGATGAAGACACACACACGACAAACAAGGGGAAGGGATCTGCGCTGGGATCTTCCCCTCATGGTCTTCAGTGATTTCTCTGTAAAATGACTGGCATAATGTGTATCTGTCCGTAAACAGGCAGGATGGGTGAGCTGCCATTGTGCTGTTTATTTTCCACTTTGGTTTCAGTTTTAAAATGTGCCTCCTGGATTTTTCCACAGTCCACCCACTAATTACAGACACAGGGAGATAACGGCTCTGGTTGCTGGGTGTTTTCTGAAGCCAAATGTAGACTATAAGTGGGGAGGCGTCTTTCAGTGCTTGGGGATGGTGCCTGCTTCGGGGTTTGACCAGGCTAGATTTTGTGGTGACTGAAGACCTTGACTACCAACCAAAAATGTGATGGCACCCACCTCATTGATAAATGGGCACTTTGGTGAGGGGTTCATAATTAGCCAATTAAAATCATTTCATAAATCAACAGAATGAGTCTATACTCTTGCAGTTTGATATCTAACTGGACCAAGTCTCGACATTGACAAGTGGGCGTTGAAAGGTTACTGAGCCTCCAGTGCTCAGCAGACTGACAGTCTATGTACACTGCGAGCCTCCTGCCCACTGGGAAAGCAGACTGACTTACTGTCACATTTCATCCCTTGGTGGATAAGTCCATACAGCAATGAGCCACAGTGATCGCAGAAGGTGGGACTTCCATAAGTGTGGATTTTAAACTTGTGCTTGCTCCGTGGGTCCTGTGGGGGAGAAGAAACACATCATTCATTCCAGTCATAAAGGCCCACATTGACAAGTACAGCTCTGGTCCCACCGCTCGCCACCCCAATGCCAAGATTGGGCAGCACCAGGCTTCATACCATTGTCTGAGCCACTCAGTGGGTAGGGTGACTTTCTGCCAGGTTTTCACCAACTGACCACTCTGGACCATGTGACAAATGCCCACGTTTCCTCTTTGTATGGAGTATAATTTGTACGTACAGGGTTTCCATCAAAGGGAACGCTTCTAGACCTATAACCATCTACACTCTTGAGGGCAAGCACAGTGCTGTACCAGCTCAATATCTGTACCCTGAGTGCTCCCCCAGTATCTACACCCTCAGTGCCCGTCCAGTA